CCAGCATGGCTGGCTGGGGAATTCTGGGAGTTGAAGTCCACTCATCTTAAAGTGGCCAAGTTTGGACAACACTGCCCTAGGGGCACTGCAAAAATGATTCAGAAGAAGTGCTCTGGGGCTCAGGCAACCACCATCCTTTTTTCAACAGAGCCCAATGCACCAGCATCAAAGGAGATTCCAATAGTTGAAAGAATCCACAAGTGGCATCTTGAAAAAAGGCAGGTTTTGTTCAGGAATAGCAGAAAGATGCTGTGCTTCCATGAGGTCCAAAGCAGGTCCTTCCATGGATTTGGGTCAAAAAACGACAACAGGGCAGTCATGACTGTGTAGTCAAAATCCTGCCCATTTTTAAAAGCATTGCCAGAAGACTGCACATAAAAACATCTGAGGAAGTTCATAGAGGGTGTCTTTGGGAGAAAAAGTGCAGCCTATTAATATTAATAATCATACTAGGAGGGGGAAAATCATGTTTTCATTATTCATAATAAAATTCTCAAATAAAAAAATGATGATTTCTTCATAATACAAATGACTCAGATCTTGCCCTGAGTTTCTCTTTTTGTTCCTCAGCCCTTAAAGCAGCTCTCCTGATTCAGCGGTGGTATCGGCGCTATACAGCCCGGCTTGAAATGCGTCGGAGATGCACCTGGCGCATCTTTCAATCCATAGAATATTCAGGGGAACAGGACCATCTCAAGGTATCGTGGCAGTGGGTGATTTTTCTTGGTTTGGAGGGAGATTTGGTTTTCCATTGATTTTTAAATAATGGGTAAGATTCCATGAGAGGGGCAGAAAGTCCAGATGGTGGTGGTGACTCCTTGAATGAAGGCCTCCTTTCTTACATGAGTCGTAGGCTTTGGTAATGCAATGGGCAGTTGCCATCTGGACTTTTTTGAAACCCTGTAGATACTCCTGGATCAGTCAGGAACTGCTTCTTGGAATTGCAAATTTGGGTTGGTGGGATCAGTGATGGTATCTAGCCACCCTGTCTTCTGTCAGGTCCTTCTTCAACTGTCTTCCATTTCTCCAAGCATCAGGATCTTCTCTGACCTTAGGCAATACTGAAAAACATAGCACTAGAGGTGGTAGTTGATCAGGGTCTGGTAAATTGGTGCTTTGTAACATGGAAGTCATTTTGCAAAGGGGCCCAGTCCCCCAGAGACCGTTTTGTAAGAGTGCCTACAAGTTCTCAAAAGGCCAGATTTGTCCAAAGGCCTGAGAAGGCTGGGGACCTCTGGTTTAGAAAAGCACATTCAAGGCCACATGAAGACCTCACAGGTCTTGTAAAAGCACCCAAGACCTGCTCTTGTTTGTGACTCTTGTTCAGTGATTCAGTCACTTCGGACTCTTGTGAACCGAGGGCATTATTTCGCCAGGATTAACTATCAGTGACTGCTCCCTTGGGCTTGTGTCAGCACTCCTATTAGGTGGCCACCTTGCCTTCTGCCAGCCTCTTTTTCAAGCATCTGGACCTTCTCCAGCGACTCTAGTCTTTACATTACATGTCCAAAATATTGAAGCTTTAACTTTAACTATTTAACTTTAACTTCCTGATAGTGCTTAGATCTGGTTTCAGTCCATGATCCAATGATTGGATCTTTCCAAGATCAATACTTCGACATCCAAAGTATTCTCAAGCATTTTCTTCAGCACCAAAAGCCTCCCTTTTTCTTTGTTTAGCCCTTCTGATGTTACAAATTCTCCTCTGTTTCTGTTGCCTTTTGCTTTCCTTCACCTATTTTCAAAAGATCAGCCCACAACCATTTTGCTTTCTTTTACTTTTTTGCATTTCAGGATATTTTTGCTTGCTTCCTATTTAATGATACTGAAAACGTCAGTCCAGAATTCTTCAGGCCATTTATTTGTCAGATCGAATCCATGAAATCTATTATTTATCTTCACGACATGATCATATGGAATATTGCTGAGGCTGTGGATGATTTTGGTTGATATCATAATTTTGTTTTCTCTAGTTTAAACCATAAATTTTCAAGACCATGTTCTCAGCTGCAGTCAGCAACAGCTCTTGGCTTTGCTAATTGAATAGAACACTCCATTTGCTTGCAGGTTAGATAATCAACTGATTTTAGTATTGCCCATCTGATGATGTTCCTGTGTAGAGTTCTCTGTTAAGTTGTTGGGCAAAGGCAATAGGTATATACATGCCACGTTCTTGTCAGAACTCTATTAGTTTCTCTCCTGCTTCATTTCATAAACTGAGGCCAATTTTTTTCAGATGCTAGTTTATTCCAACTTTAGCTTTCCAATCTCCTATAATTAATACAACATTTAGAGGGGGTGGGCGTCAACAAGATGTGACAAGTCCCCATAGAGGAGTTCACCTTCTGCTTCTCTACATCAGTGGTTGGAACACGGACTTGGATCACAGTAATTTTGTTTGGACTTGAATTGAGATCACTCTATCATTTGTGGGGGGTGGGGAGGCTGAATCCATGCATTGGCTTTGACACCCTTTTATTAACAACGATGGTTTCCTCCATTTCTTCTATGGTTTGTTTCTTTGCAGTAGAAGATCTGATGCTCCTCTGATGTGAAGTGACTCGTTCTCAATCCATTTCGTTTTGCAGATAGATCTCCAGAACATCAATGCTCAATCCTGACATTTCTGCTCTGACAAATCCAGTTTCTTTTAGCCTCTAGGTCTCTCACCCAACATGCCAGTAGAGGGGTGCAACTATTTTGTCAACAGAGTTAAAAGATCTTTCTGTGTTGAGGCTGGGCAGTGTGAGCACCCTCAGTGTCTACAGAAGGCAACTTGTCTATTGGCGGAACAATGGAATAGAGCATTCTGGGAGAAAGTAGGACTGTTGTCTGAAAACACCATTATTATTGTTATTGTTCATGTTATTGTTAATATGATTATGATATTATCAAGTTGGTCTGGATGCATAGTCACCTGATAGACTTTCTCCTGGATGATCTGTCCTCAGCCATACAGCTACAATATATAAAGTGTATCTATTTCACACACTTTAATACTTCTTCAGATTAAGTTGTGGCTCGAACATGGATGCAAGAGGGCAACCCAGGAGGGCAGAAGGAGAATACAAATGTATGTTTCCTCTAAGTTTTGACAATGTTCTTCTTATCTTCTGCAGCTCAACCATTTCTTTGACTATCTTATAGAGAACATCACACCAAGAAGCAAGAAAGACAGTAAGTTTATGTATAGGTGTGTGTGTGTACAGTTACACACACTGACCTGTTGATACATGCTTGCTTCATTCTTTAAATGCTTTACACTGAGTAGAACAGCACTGAAGTATGTTGAAATGCATGGTCTGTTCAGCTAGTTTACTGTCAGCTAGAGTCTTATTCTGGCTTTTATTTGTGAAAAAAAATCTTTCTATTGCCTATTAATTAGCAGCTGGCTTTTGCTTTGTCTGTTTAACAGCCTTAATTATACCCAACTGCTTAATTGTTCCCATTGTCAACATTTGTCCCAAAATTCCACAGAATGGATGGGATGGAAATGGATGGAAACGTTAGACGTGTTGTTGTTGTTGCACTTTTTGATTTGGGGTATGATCTGATGGGCAAAATAGGTACATTATAGATGCGTAAGGAAAACTCTACACTTCTGAACATTTCCCCAGAATCACAGTGAAAGTAAGCAAAATTTAAGACATAAATGCTCCTGAACAAAGGAGACCCAACCTTTTGGCCCTGCCGATTCTGGTGATGACTCATCGTGTGTTGTAGTAGGCCTGAATGCGTACAAATATTGCAAATCAGCAAATGTACAAAAAGGGGGGAGTCAGAAATCAATAGCTTCTCTTTTTATTATAATTATTCCTTTTTTCTTTTACCTTTTGGGCATTTTAATTTTTGTTAAAATTGCTTTGTCTATCTCTTATTTCCTTTTATCAATACACACACACACACACACAGCAACACAAAACTATCTAACAATACAATAGAGTTCTTAATATTAAGTAGTTAGTTCAAGTAATTAGTTCAGTTATTACAGTATGTAACTGTAAGATGCGAATTGCAGTGGTTCTTTTTTTAATGTTATACTTAACTTTTTACATAATCTTATGTCTGTAATATGGATATCCTAAACTGCAATTAATACTGATACAGTAGAATTTTTACTTTTCGCTTTTTATCTTCAGTCCTTTAAGCTTTCTAAATAATAGAATGTCCATAATTTTTAATCATATTACATTAATATTACTGCATTGAAACAACACAAGGTATCAAGATTTATGATGTTACAATAAAAGGGGAAAAATGTAGATAAATAAACAAGTGTTGTAGTGGTTAAACTCTTGGATTAGGAGCAGAGAGACCCATGTTCAAGTCCACCTTCAGCCATAGAGGCTGACTGGTGACTTTGGGCCAGCCTACTTCACAGGGTTGTGGCAGAGGGAAGAACAGGAGAAGGGAGAACTATGTATGCAGGCTTGAGCTCCTGAAGGAAAGCCGGGATATAAATCAAATCAAATCAAATCAAATCAACTTCCCTGGTTTACCCCTGCTTTCCTCAGAAAAGGCAGGAAATTCTAGCACAGGCTGAAAAACAAAGGTGCCCATCCTTGATCTGCGGTATGGCAGAATAGAAATATCCAAACCTTTCCATGATTTGTTTCTCTGCTAGCTGTGGGGAGAGACTGAAGGCCACTCAACAGGACCAAACTCTATTTCTCTGGCCCTAAGAAATATCACTGACACACTTCCTTCCCTCAAACTAGTTTCTGAGCCAAACTGAAACAGACTTGTGGAAACATGTAACTGGGATTCTCACGAGTTGAACTCCAGCATGCTTTGCTTGTTTCTGCATTTGCTCAGTATGATTGTGTAATTGAGAGAGGTGCCCACAGATATATATTCTGTATGTCATAGAAGCACCCAGCTGGAAAGGTCCGCAAAGGTCATGATCCAACATCCTGATCAGTGCAAGATCTGCTACTAGAGCATTTCTCGCTGGGGCTGGCTGGGGAATTCTGGGAGTTGAAGTCCACACATTTTCAAGCTGCCAAGGTTGAGAAACACTGATCCAGACACTATTTTGTGTAAGATTCAAAACAAGGAATCTGGGATCTGATCCCTCTTATTTAAATTAACTACCGGCTCATGGAAAGAGTAGCACTGGGACAATAGAACATGCAGGATGCAACAGTGCATAGAAGCTTCAACAGCCTATAAGAAAAAATCATTTCAACTAGTTCTCAAGGCAAAATTGGATTTTGGAAGGGAAGTAGCATTTAGTGAATGCATTGGTGTGAGATGTTTGGCATTTTCATAGGATAACATGTCCACGTCAATTCCTGCCCCTCACCGCCTGCCAAAGATTTGCAGAGAAAGCTACCTAGAGCACAGTAAGAGAATGCTGAATATCTGGAATTTAGCCCAGACAAAAGCCAATTTTGAGACATTTCTGCTTTCCCAATATCTCATAGAAATATGTCAATACTAAGCAACATGCATGAAAAAACCCAGGTAGAGTTTTGGTTGAACTGCTGTGGCCGCCATCTTGGCTTTCTCAACCATGCCCTGAGGACACCAGCACCCATACTGTTGACCTTTAGTCAGGAGGGATACAGCTGAATGAAGACCCAGACCCTATTTTGTAGCCAACTCCCAGCACTCCAAGATCACCCTGCCAAATTTTAAGGATTCTTGGACTTCACTCATTTGGACATATCATCCAACTCACCTCCATGCATCCATTAGAAACTGACTTTTTAAAAATTTTAATGTCCTCACCCAAGCCCAAATACCACCTCTCTGCCATCAGGTACCCAATAAGGGTCTGAGAAACAACTCTTTTGCCCTTGCTGTCTGTTGAGGATGGGTATGGTTGAGGGGAAGGTCCTCCATGTGGGGCTGAAAGTTCAAGGTGATGGCCAAAACCGTGTAACCTAAACTCCACCCCTTCTCATGTAAAAAGTGGTGAGGCTTCATAATACCTGAACATAATACCTGAAACATCTTAAGGTTTTGCTCTGCTCTTCCAAAGGGGAGTTCATTAACCGTATACTGTTGGAGCCAGAAACTATGAAAGAGAGCAGGCTGGAAAAATCAGTGGAATCTACGACGGTACCTGACAGTTACAAGGGCCCTCGTCTTAGCTTCCCTCTCACGCCGGACAATGCAGTAGCCATCCTGGAAGCCTTCAGAAACAATCAAGTAAGTACCTGAAGAGCAGCTGTGTCGGCTTCACTTTGAGAAGTCCAGGGAATGTATCAGAGGGTCCTAAAACAGAAGGCAGCCATCCAGCCTAGCCAGTCCAAACTCAGTAGAGGATTCCACATTCATTGTTTCTGACCAATGATGTTGCACATTTATGTTGCAACAGGTTTGCTCTCTGCTCTAGGATTTCGAATCTTTTTTTGCAGCCCAAGACCAAAATCGGGGAAAACCATCAACAGTAGCAGGAGATTACAATACCAGTAGAGTTTAAAAGCTTTAGTTTAGCAAAGCAAGTATTTCCCCTTCACTCTCTCAATCTCATGAACTTTACGCACCTAGAACCCGTCTTGTCTTGGCCAAGGGCCCAAAGGGAATGAAAGCCCGGGAGTGATGCAAACCTCTTGTAGTATAAATTTGCAACGATGGCTGTCGAGTCTCTGCTTGGACATATTCGTGGAAAAAGAACCTGACGTGCCTTGGGGCATTGGCGTCACTGTCAGATTGTTCTTATCCCCACCACATTAGCCATTATGGAAAGTGATTTTTCCTGCTGGTTCCTGATACCAGAAAAGGAAATGAAATCCGGGAATCCACCAGTCACTGCCCTGAAATTTTCCTGCCTTTGGCCTGTAAGGAGAGAGCCATTCTTAGCCTTGTTGCTGAGACGCAGTCAAGTTCAGCCATGAGGACAACATGGATTATGTCAGCATAATTTTCCACTAACTCAAGGATGGGGCATGAAGCTATAAGAGTTACTCTTGGAATATTATCTTCCGAGTAATATTTAAAATATGTTGAGTGGAACTGCCTGGCAGGGTGTTAACAATTGTGGAGTCCTTGGTGCTCTCTGAGTTTGGTTGTTTGCTTGCAGATGTTTCATTACCTGACTAGGTAACATCAGCAGTGTGAGGGAGTGTGTAGTTTGTTCCCTGATTATATACAGTAGCTTGCCCTGCCAGCGTTAGTGGGGGTGTGGTTTTCTTCTTGGTAGTTCCTGATTAGGGTATTGCTTTCTGCTTGATTGTTTGCCTGGTGTTAATCCCTGCTTATCTGCGTGTAGGTTGCTGGAGAAGATGTGTCCTGGTCTTTGGGTTTCCTTCTTAGCTTTTTATTGTCTCTTTTGAACGGTGTGTAAATGTGGTTTATCTCTTTGTGTCTATTGATGGCTGATTGGTCTGAATGCCAAGCTTCCAGGAATTCCCTCTTGTTTTTGGATTAAGCTTGGTCTAGAATGCTCAGTTTCCCAGTTGAAACTATGGTTGACTCTATCCTTGTGATGTGAGATTAAGGAGTTTTCATCATGTCTTCTGTCAAATCAGAAATATCTTTCTCATGCTAAGTTTCGGCAAAAGTCCATCAAGGCTAATTTAAGATAGTTCCCAGATCATTAAATAAAGCAGAGGCTAAAATGCATGTTTGTCTAAACCCTCTAAATTTGGAGATAGCTTTATCAGTTGTCTTGCACTGCCAGATCCAATATAAACATGGCTGTTGCTCTATAAGTTCTTAGTGGGATGTTTAAAAAGTCTTTTATCAATAAACACATTATCCAATTTCTGCTGTAACTTCTCCCTAGGGAGAGGATCAAAAGCTCCTTTCAGATCCATGAAAGCTGCATGAAATTTGTCCTTTAAGGCTCCTGTTCAGTAGTGATAAAATTATTTCCACGATTTCAGATAATGTTTAGGGCTGTGCAAGGATTGGATGGCAAAAAGGTGTTTCAGAGTATGTCATATAGCAGCTATCTTCCTACAGTTCCAGTGTGAACCCAGGAAAAGAGGCATTTGGCTTAATGAGTAAAAGAGAGGTGCTATCAAGCTCTAATGGTTTCCAAATAAAAGTTGAGTCAGATCGTGGATCAGAAACCAAATCTCTTCCACTGACACATTTGCATAGCCTCCCATTGACTTGCAATATTCTTCTTTGGACTGGAACGATGGATGAGAATACTGTCTCAGCTTCATAACTGTCCTTCCTAGATCTTCAGAGTCCCTGGTGATACAGTTATAGTTGCTCTTGATAATATAATTTATCTTCAGATTGATTAGCAGAAAGGTATATTTGTCAGAAGACTTGATAAGTCTTGCAAGTTGTTCTATGATATCCCTGATTTATCCATCAGTATACTTTATAAGCTGATGAATCTGGTTGACACATGCTTTGCTTCCATTCTTCATAGAAGTGAGCCACCAACGATCATGTTTATTCTCTTTGTCTTTGTAAGTGCAGTAACATACTATCTGTCTTTCAGGGGTCCACTATCCTGAATTCTTTTGGGGAATGTCCATTTTTTTTTTGAAGCTCAGAGGCTGCTTCTTCAAGTGTCTAAAAACTCTTTGAATTCTAAAAGTGCAGTATCTCCTATATTTCTTGCAACTGATTATTACTCCCTTCCACTAAGCTTAATTATTTGTTTGAGAATCTTCTATATGTAGAATCCCTACTTCAGTCAGTTCCTGTTCTGGCACTTCCCTTGTTTGATCTGATAATTCTTCTCTTCTGAGCTGAAATGTGGTCACTCAATGACTTTTCCCCCCCAAACACTGCTATAAACTTGTATTTGATGTAGAAATAGGTCACATAGTTTTCAGCAGGAATATAAACACATCATAAGCTTTTTATGGCATTGAAGAATCATATCCACTCATGTTTAAACTTCCTTGCCAATTCTTCTCAGTTCTTCCTGGTTGGTGTCTCAGTGAGCTGTCCCTGGAAACTTTCTGCCATATATTCCTTCTATAAGCTTGCAGCAGCCTCTGCTTACTCAGAAGAAGCAGTCATTCAGCCACCCCTAATGGGTAATCAGCCACACTCAGGACCCACTTCTGGGAAATAACAGCTATTCAGCACTTTTTCACCTTCATAGTTAAACTTATTGTCCCTCAAATACAGCATTTCTTCCTTGCCTTCCTTCTCTTTGTCATCTTCCTTTGGTTAAGCCTTATTCCCAAATTCCTGTTAGTTCTCTGTGTTTGCTCATGCAGTTCATTTGCTCATATTTGCAAGTTTATTCCATATACTTGGACTTGCACAGAATATCAGGAAGAAGGAAAAGACTTCTCTCTGATTTTCCAGCTGTACCACTAGTCTGTACAGACAATACAGGGTTTTGCTTTTATAAATCACCATACTGTGTTGCCCTGTTTTTCAACGCTAAGCTGCCATGAGCTCAGGAGTTCTTCTAAAAAGACCTCTTTTTTTTTTTTAAATGGCCAGCTCCAAGTCATTGTCACCTTCCATAATAATCCTCCCATGTTTTCCTACCATATCTTCCACCTTTTCCCCTTCCCTTTATAGAGCTATGAAAGAAGGAAAATCAGAATAACTATGTAGGAAGAGCTGATGCACAGCGGAATATGCTTTGCCCTGATGGAACACTGGACGTTGTTTTGAAGCTTCCCCTTGTTTCCTCCCTGTTCTTTGCCAAAGTCAGAGGTGGCATCTTCTGGCTGTGGCCAGGGACCACTGAAGGTGGTGAGCAGAGCCAGAGGAGGTGAAGGGCACGTCCTTCCCCAGCACTTGGTTGAGTTTTTGGCAAATGGCTTCAAAGGAGGTGGGCGAGCACCGTGTTCTCCAGTGGCACTTACCAAAACTTTCCTGACCTGGAATTGTGAAGCAGAGTAAAGTGACCTCCTTTTACTTTACTCTTATGAGTAAAGGGGGAAAGGAGGGAGTGTTGATTTACATTTCCTACTATGCAGTGCATTTGTATTGGTGACACTGGGCCTTCTGTCTGCATGTTGCTCTTAACAGGTCTTGGAAATAATTAAGAACAAGGCCAACCTCTCTCTGACTGCCTTTTCAAATGTTTTTTCTTCATTCCCAGTAGCAGCTTCATCCTTACTATGTTCTAAAACTCTTCCGAGAGGCAGAACAGCATCTCAGCCAGCTGCCAAATATCACCAGCATCTCTACCTGCTACAGCGAGGAGATCACCGTGTGTGGTAAGTCTACCGGTGGTAAACATCAATCAGGTGCATGGCACTCGGCAGAGCTGCAAGAAAAAAGAGGAACAGGGCACCTCAGGTCAGCAAGGGAGAGCTTGAGTTGTTTCTCCTGAGCACTTCAAGATACACAAAGCAGAACAAGATGAAAATGTTAGCGCAGAGGTCTAAGCCATTGCAACATGCAGTGAAGCTTGGGCTCTTAAATGAGGTGTATGAGGCTTCAGCGAGACTCTTACCCGAACTCAAAGCCTAGCAGGCAGATTCAACAATCCAGCCAAGGTTGACTACGTGCTATGACCTGCTGTGATGCTAAAGAAGTAATATCCTCCATGAGTTTAGTTTAATTCCTGATGGACAAGTCTATGTTCTCTTGGCAGCAATAGGGAAATATTTTGGGGGTTTGATTGCTTAGTCTTTTCTCCAGCTCAGCAAGTTCCTATTTGATGTTAAATAGTTGAGAAAGAGAATTCCTGCAATGTGCAAGGGGCTGGATTAAATGACTTGAAGATCCTTTCCAATTTATATATTCTAGAATTCTATGAAAATCTTTCACTCAGCTAACACTTTCCCTCTTTCTTTTGTTAGGAGACTTACATGGGCAATTATTCGACTTATATCACATATTTTATAAGGTATGCAGAGCTTCCATGATTACATGTCAAAAGCAACTGAAATAACCCAACCCTTACAAAAATACCCTAATTCTAATTTTCCATGCAAGAAGACAGGAAAACTCTTCCCCAACCAAAGTATAAGAAATTAATTACACTTATGGTGAAGCAATAATACACACAACATATTTCTGCATCAATGTGTCTCTTTTGTCCATTTTTTTCCTCTTTGGAAAAAGGTAATCCTTTCAGGAGAAAGAAAAAGGGGGGGAAAGTCGGGGGGGAGGGGAAAGGGGAAAGAGGGGGAAAACAATCTTTAAAAGGGCGGCTATTCCATAGCATTTCACCTCGAGGGGTGCTGGCATCAACAAAAACTCATTTCTCCTTCTCAGTTCTATCCCCTAAACAACTGCAGTGGTCTGTGCATTTGCACAAGTATTTGGCTCATCTGCGCACCCATCTTTTTATTGAACAAAAATTGTCCAGGATTTTAAGCCTTCCCTCTATGGACTTGTCCTTACATGCCATGCTCTAGTAACCACTTCTCTTGATGTCATGTTCTCTTGATGTCATCTTCATCACATCCCCAGCCCACAAGAGAGGCAGCCTAAAGCTGTCTTTAACTGTTCGCATTTCAAAGGAGCATTTTCCTCCTTCTTCCTATACAATTTTTGCCATGGACTCGGTCTAGCATAGTTTGTCAACAAAGTGGTTACTGATATAGTCCAGTTCTGGGATCTGCCCAAATCCTGTTGGCCACTTAAGGCCACTGTTGTTCTGCCCTACATGGACACCCATCAGCTGTATGCAATTTTTCCAAAGTGCTTCTGAAAGATTGCTAAATCGCTTTGTCTTCTCCAGTGCCCTTTTGCCTACCCTGTGCTACTCCCCAGTGCTGCTGGCAGTGCCTGTTTGCTTCCAGCCTGCCATTCCTTTGCCACACCAGTTTAGGTCAGGGCTTGCTTGTTATTCTTTGCTTCCTTCTGCTTCACTTCAGGTCCTTTTTTCCTGTCTGGCTGTGACCTGTGAGTCAGGCTATTATTGAATCCAGGTTTAGTACTCTTTTAGAAGACAGCTAGACCCATGTTCAGAAATAGCCCAGACAGGTAATAGGTGTGGAGTGTCTCTGTACCTGGAACCGGACAGGTAGCTAAACAGGTTGTAAACATCCTTCTACACTCACCCATCCCTGCCCTCTCACATGTTAGGAAAAATGACTAGTGGTTGTTTTCCTGCTGGCAGGTGATGCTTGATGAGAGGGGAAAGAAAACCAAGGGATGCCACCAAATTTTCCTTAACTTGTTCTGCATTAAAACAATAATAACAGCACCACTCCTCTGCCTTGGTACTGTGCAAAGTAGGTTTGGGGGATTGGGACAGCACAATGTATGTGGGCATTTTTTTCTCCTGTTTTCTAGCACTTTGATATGGCCACATGGCTGTGCCCTTCCTTTTTCTTTACTTTACATATGCAGAGTAAAGAAAAGTGCTCTTCATCAACACAAAAGAGCAAGCTCTGACTGTATGCACACTTTAGTCCAAAAATTAAAGCTTGCTTGCTTGCTCCTCACCTCGTCATCCTACTGAAGTTTGATGTTAGGGATCTTTTGCTCCTTACAGAATGGACTTCCTTCTCCGCAGAGGTCTTATGTCTTCAATGGTGACTTTGTTGACAGAGGCAAGCATTCCATTGAGATCCTGATCATTCTCTTTGTTTTCCTCTTGATTTACCCCAAAGAGGTCCATCTGAACCGAGGAAACCATGAGGATTACATGATCAATTTCCGGTATGAAATCCAAAATATTTGCAGAAAAGTAGGGACACATGGGAATCTATTTTCTTGGGTAGACACAGTATATTTATATCCACAACCATTTTAAAGACAAAACAACAAGGCAATGGGCATATTATTCAACTAATAACCTACATTAAGACAGCAAAGATGAGAATGAAACAGATCAATAAATCTTTGAGAGACAGCATGCAACAAAAATCAGCCTAATGAAATGCAAAACAAAGAAATGCCTGAAGCAAGCCATTGAGACAGAAATTAAATTAAACATGTCAGAGGGGCTGCAGAAGAAGTAGATTGAGGAGAATGAAAAGGTATTAGCCTGGTCCTGAAAAAATTATAGAACTGGCACTAAGTGAGTGTCCTTCAGAGGAAGATCATTCCTTAACTGGGCAGATCCTTCTCTCATGATTATCTTCTAGATTTCAAGAAAGGAAGCATACTTAGGACCTCTGTAGATCAAGGAAGGATAAACAGGCCCCCATCCTTTTGTGATTCTCTCTTGAGCCCTCTTCAAGCACAGTTTTCAAAAACTGATGGCCCAGTTTCACACAAAAACTGTCACACAAAACTCTAAAATAGGCTTAGCATTGTTTTCAAAACAAAATTTTCAGCCCCCCAGATCCCCATTCATGACACAGCTCCACTCATTTTTCATCATTATCCCACCCACTGAAGCCTTGGTTTTCCCCAAATTATATGTGTCTTCCCCAGCTATCAAAGCTATCTATCTCTTAGGTCACCAGATAGCTAACAAAGAGAAAAGGTAGTCAGACATGAACTTAAAATCCAAGCCATAAACAGCTTTACAAGTGTAGAAGACATAAGGAATGGCCTTGAAAGACAGGAGGAAGAGCTGTTATTAAGATAAGCGGGGCTTGAGCCCTGACCAAGAAAGTAACATGAGAAAATGTCTCAGACAAGCTCCTCCCTAGTTCTTACAAAGATAAAGGGAGGGAGGGGGGAAGCACATTCAGACTTGCAAGATTCTGTTAGTGTAGCTGTTACAATAAAAGTAATCCTGACTGATATGACATTGGTTTCTTAGCCTGGTCTATCTTGTAGGGCTGAAAATACGTCAAAACTACCACTTTAAATATTATTATTGTTGTATTGCTATTGTTATGAAGCATCTATTTAAAACCATCTCTTCTCTTCTGTCTCTAGCTACGGGCTTGTCAAGGAAGTCACACGCAAATACAAGGTAATCTGGTTTGCCTACCTATTGCATCTTCTATGTTGTTGGATCTGAAAGTGCCCCTGAGTAGTGAGTCTCACCCTGCTTTTCTCCTATGGTTCTCTTAAATCTAGTATCATGGTAATAGAATTCTGAAGGCGCTCAAGAACGTCTTTAGCAGCCTGCCATTGGGAACCCTGATTGACAAGAAAGTTCTGATTGTACATGGAGGAGTGTCAGATAAGACTAATTTGGAACAGCTAGCCAAGATTGAGAGGTGTAAGGTATGGAATTAGAAGAGAAACTTTACCTGCTTTTGTTTGTGGCCCCATCCACCGTTAACCATGGTCAGGCAGTCCCTCCTTATTTGAAATTTGGATCTCTGTCTGTAAAGCTTCCATCTTTTGGTTCTTGCCACTGCAAAGAATAAATCCACACTCTCTTCCCTGTGACAGCCCTTCAAATATTGGAAGGGTCTTATCATGTCTTCTCTTCTTTAGGCTAAACATACCCAGTTCCTTTAACTCTTCTTCATAGTATTTAGCTTCCAAGCCTCTCGCTATCTTTGTTGCTCTTCTCTGCAATCTTTCCAGTTCCTCAGTATCCTTTTTTATATGGTGGTGACCAAAACTGGACACAGGATTCCAGAGAGACAAAACACAGGCACCTTAAGCTCCAAGCTAGTTTAGTTTGTTCTGGCCAATTCCATAATTGGATTGAAAGTTTGATTTTAGGACTTAGAAAAGATCTGACTCTCAGTCACAGATTCAGAATCTCTTTCTCATCAGCTCCTCCTTTTGTTTTCCTCCTCTGCTTAGATTCTCTCTGTGTTAACACCAAAGAGAAGAAAGACTCTGGATTCTATTGAATTTGAAAGTGGCAAACTTGCCAGGGGTATTTCTCCAACGGCACCTGAGCTCTCCCAGCAGGGACAACAGACAGTCCAGGAAGATTTGAAAATCTCCCGCAAATCATCTAGAACCCGCAGATCCTCAGGAGCCAGTTCAGCATGGGAATTGGGTGAGACCTCCAGTGAGCACTCAAGCTTTAAAGATGAGGACATTCAACAAGTAAGTGTTTTAATAACAGCCAAAATTCCAGCAAGCAGAAGAGCAGAAATGAACCCCAGCTTAATCTAACAATAGCCTAGCATCCATAGCTAAGGTAGTTAAGGATCAGGTAATGGAAAACCCCTCTTCCTAGAAGTTGGAAAGTCTCTTTCCAATGGAAAAACTCTGGTTGGGATGGACAAAGGTCTAAGGCCATAAGACAGTCCTGCGCCAATCTGAAAATAGGTTCGTATTACTCAGATCTGAGCTATGCTCTATAGGTAGTCCTTGACTTACGACCATTCATTTAACAACTTCAGTTACGATGGCGCTGAAAAAATCGACTTATGACCAGTCCTTGCACTTATGACCATTGCAGTGTCCCCATGGTCACATGATCAGAATTTGGGCACTTGGCAACCAGCATGTATTTATGATGGTTGCAGCATCCTGGGGTCACATGATTGCTCTTTGTGACCTTCCCAGCTGGTTTCCAACAAGCAAAATCAACGGGGAACTGCATATTCACTTAAAGACCATGTGATTCGCTTAACGACCACCACAAAAAATGTCATAAAATCTGCTGTGATCATGTGATGCCTCACTTAATGAACACACTGCTTAACCATGAATTTTCTGATCCTTATTGTGGTCATTAAGTGAAGACTACCTGTATAGTATTTAATTTTGGAATGTGCTTATAGTTAAGTACACAGCAAGACCTTTTTTTTTCCCCCACCACCTCAACCCTATGGGATAAGTTGGGCTGACAGAGAGAGAGACAGAGAGAGACTCGCCCAAAATCACCCAGGGAGGTTCCATGGTCGAAGCTGGATTTGAACCTGGGTTTCCAATTCATAGTCCAAGGCCTTCACGGCTACACCACATTAGCTCTGTACCAGACAATAGAGCAATATTTTCTCTTGCCATGTTTTGCAAGAAATGCAAATGTGTTAAAATGCTGAAGCGTCGTGGACAGAACCTTGATAGGTAACAGTGCCCTAACAGCTTTGCAGTTCAGTAAGCAGGGAAGTACATAATATGATCCCCCTCTCCTATGAAGCTGGACGATGGGTTTTTTCCCTCATACTCCAGAAACTGACAAGCAGGGTGTGGTGGTGTTTTCTTGATTTCAGCAGGAGCCTATGTGAAAGGATGTGCTCCTGAGCCTATGCAGAGGGCTAAAAGAACACCAAGTGATTGAAATAGTAGAATGTAACATTAACAAGAAAAATGCTCTGAATACAATGGTCTTGGATGCAGAAGATGTGCTTAGCCCAGCTATCCGTGATAGACATCCACCATCTTAGCTGATAGACATCCATTATGTCTGAAGTAGAAGGTAGATTTATCAAGAAAAGCAGAGGATAGGAAAGCCTCATTTCTGTGTAATATACATCTTGAGGAAGGAGAAAGATGAGAGAGAGAGAGAGAGAGAGAGAGAGAGAATGAGAGAGAGAATGAGAGAAAGTTCCCTTGTCTCTTAAACCCTAAGACTTATTTAACTAACAGCAGGCCAGGTGAGAAGCAGACTCGGAGACAGTGTGTGAAGATCCTTCCCTTATCAATCTCTTGTTCCTGTGATCAAACGGCTCCTACGGGCAAAGAGCTGATGTGCAAAGGAATGTAGAGATTATCTTGGGGAAGGAATGCAAACTGTTGAAGGGAGAGAAATGGCAACTCAGTCCTGAGGAAGTAGAATGCACAAGAAAGAAACTCAAAAGAACCCCTCCTTGATTTTCTTTAGGACCAGATGCAGCAGAGAGAAACTTGAACAGATTCTGTTATTATACCCCACAACAATGAAGTAGCATTCCTAGAATTCCTGCCATGTCTTTTTCTTGACCTGGCTGACCTCAAAGGCTTAACCTGAGGCCACCTCCAACAGGTTGATGTTCTTGGCTCCTTATTCCCAGCATTCTGAAGGCATCAGCAGCTGTCTCTGAGGGCCTGGCAAGTACAGGCTGGAGTCTCAAATTGGCACGACATGGTTTCCCACGTTCCTAGCTCCCTCCTATGGCTCAGGGTGAATTCAATTCTGAGCAAGGGGACCCCTCCAGAGTTTCAAATGTTGGCGCTGTTGCCTGCTGAGATTTGTTTTGAATTCTGTAACGTGGACATACACACACACATACACACAAATAAAATTAAAACACCGCAACTGGAAAATCCCATGTCTGTGACTCCATTTCCAGGTTTTGGATATTTTGTGGAGCGACCCTGATCCTAAGCAGGGATGCAGAATGAATGCAGAAAGGGGTGGAGGCTGTTACTTTGGACCTGATGTGACGGAGATGTTTCTGCGGAAACATGGCCTGCAGTTCATCATCCGCTCTCATGAATGTAAGCCAGAGGGTTTTGAGTTCTGCCACAATCGAAAGGTAGGTTCAGCAGAGCAACATGTTTATGGTGGTGCTGGAGAGGTATAGGAGGAGATCAGCTGAAGCTTCTGGATTGCAAAAGTGCATGGGGAAGAGAAAGGAACTATATTATTTTTTTCATATCCCTTGGTAGCATATATTATCATAGAATCATAGAATGTATGACTTGGAAGAATCCTTTAAGACCACCCAGTCCAACATCTTGCCAGTGCAAGAATGCACCATATCAGTGTTGGCTTTCTACAGGAGATAGGAAATTAATTGTGAATTAACTGGCTGCAGTCAAATACTCTCACTGTTTTAAGAGAAGAATATTTAGAGATTTTTGGTTTAGCCCTACACCACACAGCCTTCTAAATATGGAATGTTTGTGGTGATAGAACTTTGTAAAATTATCAGTAGTGTGAAGAAACATGAAGTAGAGGGATTTCTTCTCAAGTTCAAAGGATTGCTTTGGTCTACCTGACGGAACTTGCAGGACAGAAAGAGAGAAGTCTTGTCCATGGCCAGCTGGGTGGAAGCTCTAGCTGGCTGTAGCTGGCTTTGGCTAATCTACATCTAATCTGATGTTGACAGAATCCTGCAAGTGTGAAAGTACAATCCTCCCCTTGCCTCCTTTACAGCCTGAGAAACTAGAGAGGATCCCTTCTGAGCCTTTTGCTCCATTCACTATCCAGCTGTGGGCTATGCTGTCTCTTATTTGATTGTTCCCTTGGCAGCGTCTCTTGGCCCAATCTCCCAAGGCCTTTCCCACATACTATCACAGGTACAGACAGTCCTCTACTTACGAACTTTTAAGTTACGAACTTTTGACGATACAAACAAATCTATCTGCAACTCCAACAATGAAGGTCCCAGAAGGAAGGTCCCAGAGGTTTATGGTGCACTGCATACGTACCCCCAGAAGTTTACAATGTGCCACATACGTATGTTTGCTTGGACTTATGAACAAAATGGACTTATGAACAGCCTCTTGGAATGTAACCTGTTTGTACGTAGAGGACTGTCTATAATCAGGGCCACACTTTGTTAATACTTGGAAGGGGCATCAAGATAATCAAGGGCTATAAGCTACACTGGAATGTCCAGAAAACACCCCTGAAGAAAGGTGATGGCCAATGCCTTCCCTAAGCCACACCAAATAAAAATAAAGGCATGGATTGTATCATTAGGAGTTGAGCTCAACTCAGTGGCAACTCCACATGTCTACCCATCTCTTCTGGTAGTAACTCACCAGCAGACCTTGACACCATGGAATCCACCTTGTAGAACTATCTTCTCCTCGAAGGGAAGGGATAAAATAAGGGAAGAGGGGGGAGGGAAGGGGAAAGGAGAGGAGAATTAGATAGAATGGAATGGAATGTGTATAAAATATATAAATAATATACTATAATAAATATCTGCTGTCCTAAGGCATTATTCTTTTTACATTGTATTTTTAATTGATTTGAACTGCTTTGTAAACCACCCAGAGTCATTTTTAATGAGATGGGTGGTGACAAATTTGATACATAAATAAATAAAAATAATGATGATGAGATGCTTAGATAGCAATTAGATATAAATTAAATAATTCATAGCTCATTATCAGTGGCATTCATTGCTAAGCTGAACTTCCATATTCAGAAGCTGTGCTTCTCTGGATAAGAGGAGCTGGTCCAAAGGACTGCAGTTGACTGTGGTTGGCAACAGAAAGCTGAATGAGAAGACTATTTGGTCCAGGGGAGTAATTGTTGTGATAGTGAAAAGAAATATTTTGAGCAACTGTAATGGGTTGTGAGAATAACTTTGGGAGACAGGAGGAAAAGCTGCAGCCAAGGCAATGGTCAAACAAAGAGATGTCTCAGCCCACAGAAGGAATGGGGGTGGAGAAAGAATTGACCCTCCCTCATTCTCTGGAAAGCAAAGGCTGGGGAGGGGAGAAGTGCTTTCAGACCTGCAAGATTCTGTTACTCCAACCTTACAATAAAGGTAGTGTTAATACTCATGGTTTTGAGCTCCTGCCTGGACTACCTTGAAGGGCTGACAGCAATAGCAACTATTGGATTAATATTTTGCATTTAGTGGAGATAAGAGAAAAAAGGAAAGAGAAATAATTCTAATAAACACAAGAATTCAGCATTTCATATTTTGATGTATTAATTAATAACTAGAACTAGAATATAAAAGATCATTCCAGAACAGGTGTTGTATGTTTATTTTATTGTTATTACTATTTTACAAAAAGCTTGTTTTCTAAGAATGGTATGACTACAGAAAGAAGTATTTCTTGCTGTGGTGATTACATGTAATTTTTATCTGGGAGATAGGTGAAAACCATTTTGTGACTGTATATTAGTGGCATGTTTGCTGTGACAATGCACACCTGAAGAACAATATGGATTAAAGAAAAGCAAAGATGCTGATATGGTTCTTGGGGACTTTAACCTTGGGGATTGCTATAAATCTGTTGTACTCTGTCTTGTTTTGGCTTGATTTATTAGGTCATCACCATATTTTCAGCTTCAAACTATTACGCAGTGGGCAGTAACCGGGGTGCCTATATCAAATTGGGACCTGACCTCATCCCTCATTTTGTCCAGTTTCAAGCCACCAAAGGACTATCACGTCAACTGACCATGACTCAAAGGTCAGCCAGCACTATGGACTATTGTTGTAGCTCAACCACTCTTTAAAGGACCTTGGGATGGGTTACAAACCAGCAAACCGTAAGTTGGCCTTGAAATATAGTAGTCGTGTGAAAGGAAGCATCAGATGGTGAAAGGGCACAAGTTTGGATGCCAGCATCCTGTTCGCAGGTGTATAATTTTATTTGGAGAATCAGGAAGATGAGAGGGAGCCAAAGCCAACCTTGTGTTTCAATGGGTCTAATGTGAAAAGTATAGTATCCAAACCCAGGAAGGAATAATTCCACTCTTCTGCATTGCTTAGATCCCACCCTGAGTATGGTTGCTACTTCTGAGTAGCCCATTGTACGAAAGATTCAGAGGAAGTCCACGAATCAAGATTTTATAATAGCATCTATGTATTAATAGCAGCAGAAGTAGTAGTCATATAAATAAATCATTCTTTGGGAGAAAGTGGTTTGAGCAAAGGCACAAAAGGGAAAGTATCTAATCCTTTCTCCCCATCTGTTGTTCCAGAAAAAATCAGTTTTGCAGTTCATTCATGTCTTGGATACATGGCTAAGCTTGCCCAAGTGAATCAAGCTAGATTAGGCTGTATATATTATTAACTTTCTCTTGTCCAGTGTTCTTCAGATGCATTATGCTGGCTGGGGATGATGGGTTAGGAAGTCCAGCCAAGGAAGACTGGACTAGAGAAAAATAAGTGATGATTCAGGCAAAGGGAAAGATTTATTTAACTCCATAATCCAGCTGATGAAAAGAGGATGATTCTGTTCTTTCAGTGATCCGTCCCTCAAAGCCACTCATCCAGAAAGGGCATAGACTGAATGTTCTTCTTTGCTCCTGTGTGATTTTACATAGCAGAAATTTCTCTCTTCCTGTCAGGGTCAGCCGAGTGGAGGAGTCAGCCTACCAAATTTTAAGGGAGAAATTGTTTGCCTACAGGTCAGAACTCACCATAGCTTTCAGGAGCTTTGATAAGAAGAACACAGGTAAGGCTAACAAAGAGATGTTTTTGACAAGAAATGGATGTCCTCAGGGTGTGGTCAAAAAAGCCAAGATGGTGGCTCTGCACATAAAAACTAGGCAGAGCTTTAATTGCACCATCATGGCCACCATCTTGACTTTTTGGCCACACCCTATAGACATCCCCAATAGGAACATCAGTTCCTTTGCTGGCTGTGAGAAAAGAGATTGCCTATGGATAGATGCTCTGTAACAGAAGCATCCCAAAACCTCTGCTATGACACTGTTTTCAAAGTGGAGGGACATGGATTTTGTGTTTTATAAATCTGGAAAATATAGCTCTCCAGTGGCTCAAGGATGACCAAACATGGCATCCTCAGACTGAAGAATCATTCAAGCATTGTTTGTCATCCCCAAGCTGCTTCATACTTCGGAATGACCAGCACTTCTTAATTTGAGGTCCTTCTTTGAAAGTTACATCCTGTGATGCCCAACCAGGCTGTGCTGGCTGCAAGTTCAACCCAGTTTGAGGACCCCAGTTTGAATTTGCCTGGTTTCCCCATGGAGGAAATTCACTACAATTCCTTGGAAATTAGTGGGGAGGCAACAAGAACAGCAACTTATTTTCTTCAAAAGACACTAATGTTGGTCATTCCTAAACACCCTGTCTGTTTTTGTGTTCTCATAGGCTTCATCACTCTAAATGACTGGGCAAAAGCCATAGAGTCTGTCCTCCCTCTGGGACTGCCATGGCGGATGCTGAGGCCACACCTGGTACTGCAGCTGACCAACGGGAAGCTGGAATACAGGACGTGGCTCAAAGACATTGTGACGGAAACGCGATCCTCCACCCAAGAGGTATTGCAGTGGAGGGTTCCTGGGGATGCACAATGAACAAAGCCACATGGTAGCCAGTAGTCTCCTCCCCTCCCCTGCCCCCTCCTGAAATATTACTCTGAGTTGGAAGGATTTGGAAAAGGAAGGGATAACGGAGAGTTTCTTTTGTTTTGTTTTTTAGAACAAGAATTGGAGAAGGTATTTACATTTCAGGGGGTTTGCTGGTCAGCGCGATCTCCAGCCATTCAGAATGGGGTAGAGATCTTAGCTGGCTTTATGTACCTGCATGTATTAACATGTCCTTCTTGGATACAGAACTATTTGTTTGAAGTACTTTTGGATGTTGATAACTGTTTTTGTAGAAAATGCCTTGCGTTTATATCCAATTTTACCTTCAGGAGACGTACACACATTGGACGATATTGCTTCCCTGCCCCACCTTTCTCCTTACTGTATAACAGTCTTCTGGATAGTTGAGGGACTGCTTTTCACCAGAAGCAGTTCTGGATCTGTGTGATCTCACCCCATGAGATTTGTTTTGGAGCTGAACCAATTATGGATAGTTCTGTAGAACGTGGACCATCCTCCTAAGTGCAGGAACTCTTGCTTCATCCCAGCTCCTATTGCATAGCATCCTTTCAGTGCAACGGAGGAATGGTGGTTTGCAGTTTAACAGCTTCTCCTCATAGCTAGTGATGCAGAGGATTTTCCTGGTATGTGTGTTCCACTGTATGAAAATCCACGACATGAGCATAAATAGGAAAAAGTGGAAAGGGTGTATTTTTCTTCTTTTTTATGCAGAGTGAAAAATTGTTGCAGTCTTAACATTTCTTGCCAACTATGAAATTTGGTGACAACATGGCACCCAGTGAGGCTGAAGACCATCATTGCTGTAGACATATGCAAGAAATAAATACATGTTCATATCTTTATCCATGCTAAGCGTTTATGACTAAGTCTACACATATTTTGAAGATAGATTAGAAGTTTTTGGTGTAAACAGCGGTCTTGTTTCTTTCAGCGCCTTCAGTCGAGTTTGCTGGAAAGCATTTACCGAAACTTATCCAATCTGGAGACTATCTTCAGCATCATCGACACTGATAATTCAGGTAAATGCATTTATTATCTGCTGATTTCTCTTTAATAGCCAAAGTGATTATTCATGTGCAGAGTGCAAAGCCTAGTGCTATGGCGTTATATGCAGTTATCTGGGAGGCAGACAGGTAGAACTTGATTTACAACTACAGTTGAGGCTGGAACTTCCATCACTAAGCAATGCAGTCATTAAGTGAGTCACGCCCAATTTTACAACCTTTTTGCTGCGGTTGTTAAGCGAATCATGCAGTCATTAAGCAAATCCAGCCTCCTCCATTGACTTTGCTTGTTGGAACCCCCCTGGGAAGTTGCAAATGGCGATTATGTGACCCTGGGATGCTGCAACTGTCGTAAATACAGTTGCCAAATGCCCGAATTTTTATCAGGTGACCACAGGGATGCTGTGATGTTCGTAAGTGCAAGGACCAGTCGTAAGTCATTTTTTTCAGTGCTGTCGTAACTTTGAACAGTTGCTAAATGAATGGTCGTAAATCGAGGACTACCTGTAGTAATATTTACTTCTGTTCCAGCATTTTATAGTAACCCAGCAGAGGCAAGAACAATGCTGTTGCTGATTTTATAGAGAATCATAGAATTAGAAGAGGGTCCTATGGCCATCAAGTCCAACCCCTCAGCTCAGTTCAGAAATCCAAATTGAAAGCATCCTGACCAATGACTGATCTCTGGAAATCAATGCAGGGGAGCAAGTGGGGAAATTCTGTCCTACATCTCCAACTGAGGGTGAGTTTAAGGACATGAATGTGCGTAAGGAAAGGGTTTAGAATGGTAGAATTGGAAGATGTGGGAGAAACTCAAGGCAGCTCAACCAGAGGCTGTTAGGCCACTAAATTTTGGGATTACATAGTGGCTGCAGTCTGGAAGATCTGAGAGCTGTATGGCAAGCTGAAGATGAGTGAACTTGAGCCAGAGCACATCATTAGAGGCTGAGCCACAGAGCATGGAGGCTGTTGGAGGGGTGAAAAAGAGATTGTGCAGCTGCTGGAGAAGGAAGCAGTGAGATTAGTGGCTGAGACCACAGAAGAGAACCTCTTGGTGTTATACTGCAGAACAATGTGGGCAGCAGATTCAGTGCCAGGACCTTTGAGATGAGAGCCTTGGGGCCTCTGGCATCTGCAGCTGCTTGGATGTAAAGAAGATGACCTTGATGGAGATATGCAAGATCCGTTGCTAGCGGTGAAAATATTTCAAGTCCACAACAGACAGATAAGATTTGGAAGTGGTTCAGGCAGACACTTCTCTAATTCACTGAATTATAAGGAGCAGGAGAGCAGTACAAGAACAACACACCTAGTTTGTCCCTCAAGTCCAACCACACGAACAGGACTTCACATCTGCTTACCTGCTGATTTCTAACCTTCTGTTTTTAGGAAGTCTTGTCAAGAGTAGGGTGGGGCGGCAATTTCAGAGAATCCTGGAAGAAGTGGATTGTCTGGAGCCTTTTGCATCCAGAGTCAGGGGCTGCATGAAACAGAATTCAACCACTATTACAGACAAAGAGATGGGGAAATTGTTAAAGGCACAGAGTGGAAGCATAGGTGAGAAGCAACACAGCATGGTCTAGTCTGCAACAAAATGAGAATTAGGAAAATGCATAGAGGTGGTTCTTAGCAATGACAGCTATGTGCAAAAACTGAGTCTCAGTGCAAGTCCTAAACTGGGATGCCCAGTTTGTGATTTTTCCAAAGAAATCTAGGCTGTGCACCCATGTATTGCTAAATGATTGCTTTGTTCTAGGACAGCTGCTTTTATGGGTTTAAATCAAGGCAAGGATATGCAACTTCTAAACAAAACACTGCTGCCAACCTCTGAATGAACATTCATTTACAAACCAAATTAAAATGAATTTAATTATTCCACCAATATTTAATTATGTAATTCTTCTATCACATCAAAATCAGAATTCATACATTTTATATCAGACTAGACAATCCGTGACCCGCTGGGTCATCATTTCAGAAATATTTCCTTACCTAAACAGAATAACAAAGGGCAGTGGGGGTGTGAGCGACTTATAACTTGCTGCTGGTTTCCCCACTGACTTTGCTTGTGGGAAGCTGGCAGGGAACGTCAGAACTCCCTTTTCCTTCCTTCCTTCTTCCCTTCCTTTCCACATACTGTATAATACAGGCTTGCACTGTTTACTCTCCCCTCACAACCCTGAAGAGAACCCTGGTGAAGCTTTCTCTTCCTCCTGCTTGGCTGACCCACGGAACTGCTTGCCACTTTGCTGGGTGGAGATGGAACAAAGGGAGCCATGGACTGTGAGGCAAGAAGGCTCACCTGTTGACTCACCGGCACCCCCCCCAGCCAGCCCTATCTTGTCAGCAGGCATTCAAGTCACTCCTTCATCCTTCTTCAACACCCACCACCATTACGAGATTTCAAATTTCGGCCTCGGTTCCAAAGCAGCCAATCACCACTCGCCCGTTTGGCCTTGCCGCCAATCAACTGGGCACAGGGGACAGAGGGAGGTGGGAAAGAGGTTGGGGATACACCCATGATGATCGCGTGACCTGGGCTGACTGCAGCAGCACAGCAGTGCTTTAACAGCCACAAATCTCCCAAATTTCAATCCCACAGGAGTAATGGATCCTGGATTTTGGACGTGTTCTGTTAATTAGCCCATTTGACGTACCTTGTTCAAAAATTGTTGCCCTATGATGCACTGTTTCACCCAGCTGAAGGTTACAGATACGAGTTTTAGTAGTACAGTGGTACCTCGGTTCACGAACTTAATTCATTCCGCGACTCTG